ATAATTCTTAAAATTTTAGTAATAATTATTCAAAAATACATTTATTTAAAATTATTTACATCTTAATTATTAAAAAATGATTGATATACCCTTCAATTCAACACACTTTTTGACACCTACCTAGTTTAGCCATTAAAATATATTATCCATGTCAGTTCATGCATCTTATATGCATGGTTGCATTTTTAATTTTATCTGTCTTTATTTTCAGACTAAAAAATAATGATTTTTTAATGAATATATTGTATAATGTGTTGAACCATGTAGTATACCAATCAATGTTGTAAGTATTACTCCTTTAATCCTAGAATAATGGATTATAATTCATTAATTATTGATGATTTTAACAATTTTTTTAATATAGTAAGATAAAAAAATAATAAAATAATAATGCAATTCTTAGATTGCTTATGTATAATGTATAATTATTAAAGTTTGAGTCCAAGTTTAATTAGAATTTGAATTAAAGTTTAAAAGCTAAATTAAAGCTGGGTGATAATATATTATTTGAATTGGAATATTAGACTCCTAAATTTGAGATGGATTTTAGATCTTAAGAAAGGCCCATTGACTATTTATTTGAGATTTTATGAGTATTTTTAAGGGGTTTATTGAGGATTTTTAAAGGCTCAATGCATATTAATTTAAGATTTAGGACCCATTTGATAGAGTAGTTTGAGGGTAACAGTTAGTGATTTTACTTAAATTATTAAAGATAAGTGTTTAATAATCTTGTATATTTCAAAGCTGCTATAAATAAGATAGTTGGTAAAAATTTTTATTTAGTGGTTTAAAACTAATAAATAGTAGTTTAGATCCAAACCGCTAGTGAATTAAAGAGCTAATGTAGGTAGCATTTTGTATCAAATTGTTAATGGATTGGAATTTTTTAATTTTTGGTTGTGATCTTAATTAATACTTATCTAATTAATTTTAATTCATTTTTTTGTCTTTAATAACATTAAGTGATTATTATATTTTTATTTTTTACATAATTTATCAATAAAATATATTAACTTAATCAACAAAATTTGCTAATTAGACGAAATGATTAAAATATTTTTTATTTAAAAATAATATAACTTTTTCTTCATTAAAAATAGAAATGAATATGTGATTATACTATTATAATTTATTTTATTTATTTATGTTCTTATTATTATTTTATAAAATTAATAATTTTAATAATAAAAATATAAAAAGAAAAAATACATTTAATTGTTTTTAAACAAGTCTTTGTTAGTTATTTAACGTTGATCAACAACTGTTAATTATTATATAACTAAATAGCTATATTAATCAAATCAAATTGACTATCTACTATTCACTAGGGATGGCAATTTGCTTTGAAAGCCGCACAACTCTATAGGGATAGAGATTTAAAGAATATTCTTTTCCTAAAAGCGGGGAAAGACACAATTTTTTTCTTGCAAAATTTCGCGGAGAATTTGCTGCACCCCACAAGTTCCCGTGATGATTCGTATATAATAAAAAAAAATAAAAGATCTATATTTTTATAAATTATAATATATTTGTAAAAACCTAAAACCCAATTAATTTTTATTCAACCCAATTGAAATTTAACTTTTATAAATTATAATATATTTATAAAAACATAAAACCCAATTTCTTTTAAATTTCTACTCTCTTTGTACTGTTATATGCATTTGTTGAACCGTTATATGCATTTGATAGACAATATGCATTTACTTATTTCAAATTTTTACTTTCTTTTTATTTCTTTATGTAGTACCTTTTTGCGATGTTTGTGAAATTTTGTGCATGCTTTTCACTTCTATAGGTTTTTATTCTTATACCTTATGAATTACTCTTTATGTAAGTTATAAAATTTATTTACTAAAAAAATAAGATTAAATTCTATAATTTTAATATTTGGTGAAAATTTTGTATACTTACGGAGACCTACCATTCCTCACAGAGATGGGGATGGAGGACATTTTTTGCCCCCACCAAAAATCCCCACAAGCATTCCCATAGTGCCTAGCGGAGATTGGGATAGGGAGGAGGTTTTTGCCCCACAAGTACTCATTGCCATCCCTACTATTTTCTACTTGCTTTCCAATATTTACCACCTGCTATCCTCTAACGGTCAATTACTAACCGCTACTGTTATGCACTATTTACTAAATTTAACCACAACATACCAAACATGCCTTTGTTGTTGGTTTTAACAATTTTTATAATATAGTAATATGTACGGAAATAACCACATTTCTCAATGTTATGCGAGTCAAGAAATTATTTTTTAGAAAATAAAAAATATATATATTTTTAAATCAAATTTCACAATAAAAATGTAATTTTAACTATGAAATTACTAAAGTATATTTAATAAAACTCATTTTATACTAATTTGTTAATAATATTTAAATTATTTTAATGTTCGGTTATTATGCGGTTTCATCTTTAAAACATGAAATTCTGTAGAAAATATGCAAGTTGCAGTCCTCAAAGTCACTAAAGACAAATGCTCTTTTGTAACCAAAATAGAGTAGTTAATTACAATTTGTTCAAGCGTAAACGTTGGAAATTACTCTTTTGTCTTCCGTCATTCTTTGAAAATACAGGTACTTAGGCATTTCATTCAATTCGGGTTAGAGACGCGTCCTGAATGTAAGAGCTCGAGTTCCCTTTTCTCCAATGACCAGTAGCTAAATTAGCCAACCTCCTATTTAATAAAGCAGTATATAACTTCCTCAGTTATTTAGGGGGGCACATAAGTCCTTAAACCACACAAACAAACCCGCTGTTAATGGAAACCATTACCTGCCAGTAAGTCTTTGCCATCCTAAAATTTTATGGAAGAGTAATCCTTAAATTTTATAAAACTATGTTAAATAAATTTCTTAAACTTTTTTTGTATCTTGAATTGTATAAAAAATAATAATTTTTTTATCATTTAAATCTATTTATATATTATACAACTTGAATTAAAAAAAAAAATCACTAAATTACTTAAATTGTTGATAATTTTCTTAAACTTTTAAGAAATAAATAAAATTTATCTAAAATCTTTACTTGTGATAAGTAATACCTTAAACATAAATTGGCAAGTAATACACAATGACGAGGTTAGGTTCCTTGCCCCCATCTTCTATCGAGAATGTATCCCGTTACTCTCCTTTCCGTTCTTTCATGATCTCTTTCGAAAGACATGGTCGCGTGATAGCGAGCTTCTAATGCTATGGTGGCAGAGCCAGCCAAAAAAAAATAATTAGGGGAGGAAAGGAATTATTGATTAAGAAATGGAGTATTTTAGGGATTTTATAGCCTTTAGGCCCATAATTTCTTTAAAAAAGCCTTTTTATAGCAGCGAATACCCATCCTTAATTTTTGAGATTTTATCTACAATTAATATTAAATCTCACTCTATTTTAGAACATGTTTAATGAAAAAGGTTTTATTAGTGGTTTGTTAATATTTTATTGTCAAAATTAATATTATTTTAGATAAATTTATATTTGTATATATTTGACAACATATCTTAAAAAACTAATTCTCTTTTTAAATTGACTTCAATTAACAAAATATGTTGTCTCATTTTCTTATCTATAATTAGTAAATAAACTCATTTTTGTATCATCAATAATTTAAATAATTCAATAATTATTTACTTTCAATAAAAATAAAATATGTGAATAAAAGGAATTAAAAATAAAAAAATATTTTTTATTATACCATTTAAAATAAAAAAAAATAAGAAAACAACAACACGCTCGTTTTCTTGGAGCTGGGAGTCATAGACTGACGGAAAATAACAGCTTGGGCCTGATTACTCGTCCGGTGTTGTCGGAGGATTTACATGCGATTCAAACAGTTAGTTAGGGCTTCAATCTTATTTTCTTTAAAATTCAGGGGCACATATCACTCAGCCGACCCCCAAAATTCCAGAGTTTTGTCCGGGGAAGGGTTTCACGATGACTGCCGAGCACCGTGTCCCGGGTAGCAGCTTTCCGCCTCCGGGCTCTCAAGGTCAGTGCAGTAATATTAACTTCTACAATCGTCCAATACCCTAAGTGCGGATATTTCCATCTCCTATAATCATTAATTTGTAATTGTTGAATCTGTCATCCTCATTTTATAATCCTTGGATGAGTTCTGGACAGAATGCAAATTATAATCCATATGTGGTTACAGAATAGACTTGATTCCTTAGAAACTGTGATTCTTATTGAGCTTCATTCTCGGTCTAGGAGAATGTCTAATCAGTGCCATAATCAGAATGAGGGATTATAGTATTAGAATTCAAGTGCCAATGGAAGCTTTGTCCTTTGTGTTGTAGAAGGGCACATTTAAGTGCAATGCGTTGTCGTCTGCTTACATTAAGTATAGTTGCTTTTGTTTGTATGGACTCAGAGGTAAATTAGAATTCTTGATTATCTAGACGTTGCACATTTGATGAGGATTTATCACGTCGAAGTCACCAATCTGTTTTGATTACATGTTAATTTAATGAAATTTATCTTTTGGTTGTAATTAAGCTAGTTGGCTTGTCTGATCTAGAATAATTGTTCTATATACTGACTAAAAATATGAATATAGGATCATATGTTGAGTAGAATACTAGAGAAGATTGCAAGTTCAGCTGCTGCAGCTACAAAATGATCTCGCCTTCTTAGTTGGCACTAGGCAGCTTAGGGATCAGTTCAAGTCCATACCTCGAGTAGATTTTTCCTTTCCAGATGTCTCCTACCATCTTTACCTGATTATGTTGAGCCTGATAAGTATAAGATCGATATTCTACCAAATGATATCAAAACTGCCTCAGAAACATCAGTGGTACATATTGATATGCCTTTCTTTAAAGAATTATTTTTCTATCTGTGGTCTCTTCTTCTTCAAGGAATTAATTTTCTATTTTATTGAGGATACTGTTTGATTTATTCTGCTGACCCAAATCCTGCAGCTTCATTAGGGTTATACATTGATAATGGTTCAATTATGAGTCACCAAGCTCTTTTGGGACCACTGTTCTGCTTGAGCATAGGGCATTCAAGAGCACAACAAATGGTAGCTATTTGTGGGTTGTGATAGAATTGGTGGAAATTGGTGGCCATGTGCAAGCCTCAGCTTCTAGGGAGCAAATTTGTAACACCTTTGGTGCTCTGAAGACTTGTGTTTACTTATTAACTACATGAGGAAACCTGCCTTCTTGGATTGGGAGGTCAATGGATGGGTGAAGTCCTGTATAGCCTTTTTGTGCCTGTGCTAATTAGTTGCTGGAAATTTTGGATTAAATGCCCTTGCAAATATCACGTTTTATATGTTTGTCTTTTGCAGTTTCGGAAGGTGAAAGCAGAAATAGCTGAAGCTTCCAACAATCCTTAAAGATTGCATTTGGACGCAATTCACTCTGCTGGCTAGGTGGCTAATTTGTTGCCTCTGCAAATCCCCTTCTAGCTCCAGAATCCACTATAAGCAGATTGAATAGTACAATTCTTGTGGAATTTATTGCTGTGAGTCAAGAAAGCTTGATATTTCAGTATGCTTTATATTCCAATGCCAGTAATATCGCTTTTCTAAAATGTTTTGCCTAGATTTATGTATTTTTATTTGATTTCCCATCAAACTTTTAGGAAAATTGCGCTGCTTCTCACTTGGTACTTCCAGCATCTGGAGTTGAGCATGGGGAACTGATTTATCAGTAGATTACTTCTGTCAGATCTTTCTAAAATCTGCTTCCCTTAAGAGCCAAAGTCTGCGTACGGTGGAGGTGATTATCGTTGTCAAGTTTGTTCAGGATTATGTGTACTAAATGTTTGTCGGCATTGTTTACTTCTATACTTCTTGTTTATCTATACGTGACAGTTATTTTGTAGGATGTTATTGCATTTGAAGTTTTAAACTTCCTGGTGGTTAGGCAAAAGAAGAAGGAAGCTATGGCTTTGAATGTCCTCCAGGTGCAGTCTTGCTTTTCTTTTCTGAAGTTTGTGGACAATTTTGTTTTGATTGTTTGATTTTTGGCATCCAGAAGTCATCTTTTTATCTTTTTAAATCTTCAGTTTGCATAGTTGTACTTGTGGCATATTAATTTTTTTGACGTAAAATGCTGTATCCAAGTGTTTCTTTATGGCAATTGTGGTTAATGAATCTTTGTATAAACTTTCTTGAAAACAATTGGTAAAAGATAAACATCTTGTCTGGATTTATATTTTATTGACTCATGTCAGTGATGCTTGATAGTATCCAAATAAATTTGTGATATATGTTTCATGTTTCTGTTGAAAATGTCATAGTCATGGAAAGCATATTAATGATGTTTATCTTTATGGGCTCAGAGCACAGGTTTTGTACCTAAGACTTATGATGTAGCAGCCAAGGGGCTTACTGCAGTTGTAACACTAGGAGAAGGTTAGCTGCTTCTTAAAAAGGTCATTTTTTGCTTCCTACAGTTGCAGGAGAACTTTATCTATGTTTCATGTTGCAGTTGTCACAAGTCATTCTCATGCAGCTTTTCTCTTAGCTTTTTACTTAATAATGCCCTTCATTCTTTGCTCCCTACAGTTGACCTGAAACAACTAGGTTGTGCTAAACTGTTGACAAAAACTGCAATCTTGATGAACTTGGAATCCAGAGTATGAAAACAAATTTTCTTTCCTTTTTTAATTATTGCTTCATACTAAATTAAGCTGGCCAGGGATTCATACTCTGCCATCAGATGTTGCTCCTCTTATTTGTTTACTTACAAGATGCATTCTGCAGATTGTTGCTTCAGAGGATATTGGTATACAATTATTTACATATGGGGAAAGGTATGAACTCTGACATTACTGTTTCTGAGTTGGTTGGCTTTGATTCTTTATTATTGATTGGATATGGATTGCTATATTGGTGGCTTTTTACTGACCTCAATAACTTGCTTGCTAATATGTGTATGAATAAGTAGAATGATATTTCTTTCATCCTTAGGAAACCTGTGGAACATTTCTTAAATGCTGTTCAAGAAGTCACACTAAAAGATATTTCTTCTATAGCCCAAAAGCTTCTATCATCCCCCCTCACAATGGCATCATATGGAAATGGTATTTCCAAGTCTAGAATATATATATATATATATACTGTTTTTGTTGGCAAAAAACAACATACTGTCGTTGTACTCAATTGGAAAGCTATGGTTATCTCCTTTCTCACTTTGCTAATATTTTGCAGTTATTAATGTCTCCAAGTTACAATTCAGTTAGCAGCAAGTTGTAAGCGATCATATGGAAACGGTTTTTCCAAGTCTAGAATTTATAGACTGTTTTTGTTGCAACAAAACACATACTTTTTACTCAATTGGAACGCTATGGTGATCTTTCTTCGTTTTGCTACTATTTTGCAGTTATTAATGCAAGTTCGAGTGAACGAGATTGCTTTCTCGTCTCAAACCGGACAGTTATCTAAACTGTTTTTTGTACTGTTGTGCGTCTGCAATTCCTTGGAGCTATTTCATTGCAAGATGCAGTTGTGTAAATAAGGAGTCTAGACGTTGGCCAATTTAAAAATAAATAGTTTATCCCAAGCAAGCAGCATGAGTTGAATTGGCTTGGTGTTGGTACGCACTTCCAAGTTTTTCTAGTGCACTCCAGGACTTTGCTGTTTTTTTGTGGTTGGAAAAAATTCCATGTTCTTTTCTACTTCATGATCCTCTTAATTTGGTGAAGTGAAACAACAGCAAAATTAGATAAACCTAACTTCATCTGAAGAGTTGTACCCATCAATTTCCGTACTGCATTTTTCTTATTTTTTGGTCTTCAATCTCTCTACTCCATTATCTTTCCTATCTCTTAACAAATCAAAGTTGGTAAGCAACTTCCATTCCCCTACTTCTCGTGGTTAGCTATCCTTGGCTTTGCTTTACAACTGGTTCTCGTCAGTATGCCTATATATTCTTCTCTATGGTTACGATTATTTGCACATTATTTTTTAATATATCATATGATAGATTGTATAAAAAGGGAATAATCTTTCGGTTCCCATAATCTCTCTTTACCTATTTTAATATTTAAACTTAAGATCTTTAACTTAAAGTTTTTAACTTTTAACCACTTAAAATACTCTTTAAGATTATGATTATCTGCACATGAATTCAAGTAACACATATACTTTGCAGGCAACGTTCATGTCTTCACTTGCTATCTTATTTACACTAATTGACGGGTCCCAACTTTAAAGATTAAATGGTAATTTTGATCTCTTAATTTTATAAAATTATACGTTTTTTATCTTTTAATTATTTTTTATACTTTTTTTATTCTTTAACTCTAAAACCTATACAATTTTAATCATCCATTAATTAAGTGCCAACAGGACTGTTAAATTTGTTCAAGATGGCATTTTTTGATGATGCGGCGATGATACGGTAAACAATCGGCTTATATGGAAAAAAAAAAAAAAAGTCAAATCTTATTCCCAAGCTCATTATAATTGTTTAATATTAAAAATATTTTAAAGTTATACTTGTACCCCTCTCATCTTCATTTTCTTCCCCAGTCCTCTTTTTTTGTATCTGCATTCATTTTCCTCAGCACCGTCTTCCAACTCTTCCTCCTCGTCCCTCTCTTTTCTCCAGCACTCTCTCCCTTCTACCTTCTTCGATCTCTTTCTTTTTGTCTTTCTCCTTTCGCTTCTATCCCTTCCTTTTCCTCATTCTTCCTAGATCTGGGCTAGATTTGGATTTGTATAAACCCAGATTTATGGGTTTTGAAACCAAGAATTCTGGGTTCTTACAAATCTATTCTTGAAATCCCTCCCTTCTACCTTCTCCGATCATCTATCCCCTTCTTTCTTCGCCTCACCTCTCCTCTGCATGCTCTTTCATCAAACCCAGCAGATTTGGGTTCGCGTGAAACCTAGCTAGATGAATTAGATTCGAATGAACTCAAATTTGAGTTCGCGTGTGTCTAAATGAATTGGGTTCAGACAAACCCAAATCTGGATTTAAATTAGGTTTGTGGAAACCCAGATTTCTGGGTTTTCAAGCCCAGATTTTTGAGTTTACAAAATCCAAACATGTGGGTTCATTTGAACCCAGATTTTGGGTTTTTTTGAACCCAGATTTTGGGTTTTACAAAGGGTGCTTTCATTGCCTTTGCATTGTTGAAGAAGAACTTTACAGCACTGAATTCATAGTTTTGTTTGGATTTTGAAATGAGATATATAGATGTTGTTTGTTTGAATTCTCTAATTTTCCCTTGGAATCATTACAGAAGTTTTCTGCCAAAGAAGTATTCAAAGGAGAACACTAGATTTTTTTTTCCAAACACTTGTGTTAAAATTGATAACGAGTTTGTTGCAAATAGGTTTAGAATAATGTCTACAAAAAATGGTCGAATACCGGCAAAATTGTTATGCGTTGAAGATCGAAGTTTGGGTTTTGCTTCTGGAGTGCAGATGAGAGAGAATTCTAGGGTTTACAAAATAGCCACAATTTTTTTCCTTTGAATTTTAGGGTTTACAGGTTTTTGATGTGCTTGTTTAGTTGGAAAATGAGATGGCATAAATTTTAATCTATGTCAGTATTTTTTTTTAGGTTGTGTTGTGCATGTCATTAAAATAGATGTAAAATGTGCCACATGGACCAAGTTAATAGTGCTAATTGACAGAGAGTCAAAATTATGTCATTTTTATAGTTGAAAGATAAAAAAAATGTAAAAAATAATTAAGAGCTTAAAAAAATATAACTTTATAAAATTGAAGGATCAAAATTAATATTTAAGTTAATTTTAAATTTATGGGTCATCGATATTTTAATGCTTGGATGATGAGTTATCACCTGCTTTAATCTTGTCTATTTAGAAATAATTTTCGAATTTAAAATTTCTATTAAGATCTTGATGAACTTGGAATCCAGAGTCTGGAAATAAATTTTCTTTCATTTGTTAAATGTTGATTAATATTAAATTAATCCGGACGGGGATTCATACTCTGTAGTAAGTATTGCTCTCTTATATATATATTTACTATATACTTGTCACATGCATGCTGCAAATGGTTGCCTCAGAGGATATTGGTGGACAAGTTTTGACGTATGGGGAAAGTTATGACTTGAGACAATCCGGTTTCTGAGTTGGTTGACTTTGATTCTTCATTGATAATTGGATATGGATTGCTATGTTGGTGGCTTATCACTGACCTCAATAAATTGCTTGGTGTGTGTATATATAAGTAGATTGATGTTTTCTTTCATCCTTAGGAAAGCTGTGGAACATTTCTTGAAGGCCCTTGAAGAAGTCACACTGAAAGATGTTTCTACAATAGCCCAAAAGCTTCTATCATCTCCTCTCACAATGGCATCATATGGAAACGGTGTTTCCAAGTCTAGAATATATATACTGTTTTTGTTGGTAATAAAACAACATACTGTCTTTCTACTCAATTGAAAAGCCATGGTGATCTCCTTTCTCGTTTTGCTAATATTTTGCAGTTATTAATGTCCTCAGCAAGTTCAAATTCAAGTAAACGAGATTGCTTTCTTGTGTCAAAGTGGGTAGTTGTCTCAACTGTTGTCTGTAATTTTGTGCATCTGCAATTCCTTGGAGCAATTTCACAGCAAGATGAAGTTGTTGAAAATGAATCTAGACGTTGGCTTATTTAACAATAAATAGTTTATCGCAAGCAAGCAGCATGAGTTGAGCTGGTTTGTTATAGGGATGCACTTCTGGACTATTCTGTATTCTTTGTACTCCGATTTTACCAATTCCGATTAATAATGGTGTTCCCCTAATTTGGTGAACGAAACAAAAGTAAATTAGATAAACCGAACTTCATCAGTAGTGTCATACCCAAAGTCTACTGCAGCATCTTTTCTACTTCTTGAACATATCAAAGTTGGTCGGCAGCTACCCTTCTGCAGGGCATGGAAGTGCTTTTTAATTATTAGTTTCAGAGCTGTTTTGCGTTGCCGTTGATGAGTCCTTGAGGGTGTCTTTTTTTTTTTCTTTTTTTCTTTTTTTAAGTTTTTTGAGTTTTTGATGTTATGGTTATAATTGTTATGAACTATAAAATAAAAATCATTAGATAGGAAAAATCTTTCAATATCATGGGATTTACATTTATTCTAATTATTAGTGTTATACTATGCAATACAGTTAAAACTGCACAAATATTTTTTTAAAAACTTTAATTTTAAGGTGTTATTATTTTGTAATTATTAGAAGCTGGAGTTAGAACCATGGAGTTCCATTCGGAGTCTTAAGTTTTAATTAAGGTCATCACATGGTCACTGGAGGTTTGACTGTTTGAATTAGAATTGAATTACGATCCAGTTCTTTGATTTTTGACATGGATGACGGGCAGAATGGGATAAAAATCCTCTTGCATGGAGACCCTCATCCCACTTGTTACCTTCAAAAGTTAAATGGTTTTTAAAGAAAAACACAAAGAGCACTAAAATGAGAAAAGGTATAAAATAAAGAACCCAAAATATAAAATATATAATATGTTATACAAATTAAATTGCACATAATAAAAAAACACTCAAAATATAAAATTTACCAGTGAAACCCAGAAAAGTAGTCAAAATGTTGACAAACAAACCTTAACTTAGAGTCATAATAAAAAAATTCAGACTTCATATTACAAAACAACTAACCCTCCATAGGAAAAAAAAAAAAACGGAAGAAACAAAAATTGTTCGAAGGGAACAAACAGCCACCTCAATTATCACTATATATAATATATTTTTAAAAGCCTATATTTGCTGGGATTGTGCAGCCGTCTATCAGTTCTGCACAAGAGCTGCCACAGCCACTCCCTAGTTATCGTCATCTGCAGTATCTTTGGCTTGGTTGGCACTCTCCTCGTTGGCATTCACAGCTCCAGATTCTATTAGTGCTCTGATTATCGCCGATACAAGCTGCTTGGCAAGGGAAACAACACAAGACTCCATATTCTGGTAAAGTCAGAGGAAAAGAGTTGCTACTCAAAAAGAGTCGAGGAAGAAAATAAGGAAAAAGCAGTGGGAATGAAAGAGAGAATTAATTCTGCGGATTAACCTTGTCATGCTTCAGAACATCAGTTGTGCCCTCTGTACATGAGGTAGAGGCTTGCTTGTCACGTGTGGCCTCCCTCCATTCAGCACACCCAGCAGTGGAAGGCATAGGCTTCTTAGTGACCGGTGCAGTGACAAACTGGCTGATTGACTGGGGAGCACTCCGTGTGAAGCCGCTAGATAAAGTGCTGCTTGTTGGGGGACATGTCTTTACTGCAGGTCTTTCGGGAGGAGTCTGAAACAATATGGAAAAGGAATTAGTGATCGGGAGTTAGAGTTAAGAGATTTAACAATCAAATAGTGACGTATCACAATTGTCATAAACCTTCAACGTTAGCAAGCTTAACCCCATTAATAAGGAGAAATTGACAACAGATAGTAACACAATAACTTGGTCATTATTCTAAAAAGCTACTAAATTTGGAAAATTTACAGTACCACGAGAAAAAGATCAACCATCAAAGTTGCATTCAAGAAGCACACTAGTGCTACACCAAAAAAGAAAAAGGGAAAAAATAAAAGCTGTGCATCAGATAAGAATCATCATTCCTCATCAAGAATTTTCGCATCAGATAATTCATCAATCATAAACTTCAAATCCTTGAATGCCATAAACATTGTAGATAATTTATATCCATATATAAACAATGAATGATGTGCATCAAATAAGAACTATCACACTCCAAGAAAAAAAGTAGTCAGCTAAATCTCCAGTCCATCAACACATTCTTCTGCAATGCCAGAAACAGAGAACTAAGAAATGATAAGTAGAGAGCCTAAGTTGCAGATAATTTTATTCCCACCCACATTTTCATAATTTTATTCCCATCCACAAGCAATGAAAATGCGCATTGCCATACCTCTTTTTCAGAATCTATTTCCATATCAGCCACCAGACTGTCGTTTGGACTGTCAATCTCCATTGGCATATTCTCCTGCTATGTTAGAAATAGAAAACAGATAAAAATGAGATGCAGAGCTTCAAGAATTGTTGATAATTTATTTCCACCCACATCTACAGGCAAAGTAAACATGCAAAACATAAGATGTGCCTAGCTTTTCCACTCTCTCTTTTCTTCCCACAACAAGGTCTACCTAGTAATTAAGGTTTTTTCCTCACACAACAAGGTCTACCTAGTAATTAAGCTACGTTTAATATAATTGTGGTTTTGGGTTTTTAATTTTGATTTTTATAAATTTTGCAACAACTAAAAACCAAAACTAAAAATAAAAAATTAACAATTTGTTTAAGACAAGTTTTAACATTGATAACAAAAAATGTAAACTTGTTTAACAGTATTAAAACTATTTTTGTTCTTATATTTCTAGTAATCATGATAACATGCTGGACAAACACATAAGAGTAAACAGTTTTATGTTTAAAGTTGCAAAATTTATAAAAACCAAAAACTACATCCATACTAAATGCAGTCTAAGAAATTATAAAGCAGCTGATAGCATTCGATTCATCATTTTGAAGAATTATTTAAAAAATCTAGAGAAAGAACACATTTTGCTTACTATTCATATCCATAAATAGAAGAGAAAAAGAGATGAAGATAGAGATGCTACCTTAAAACTTTCTGATCTCTCGATCTCCTGTGGAAAAGGTTTATCAAACAAACTATGAACTCCTAATAAGCTACTAATTCTAATCCTAATTAAAAATGACTTTCCTAAAATTAAAACTTAGCCCAAATAAAACTCAAACTTAAACAAAACAGACAGCCCTAAAACTAATCATTAAAAAGAGCTCTATGCTCCTGCATCAATCATAAATTAAGAAGATGAAAATGGAGATTGTATACTAATTTGTTTACCTCTTGATAATTGTTACCCGCCGTTATCTTTCCTTTTCCCTTAAAGTCTTCTGTCGTTTCAGTCCTTGCCCTCTTCCTTTTACCAGCTCTTTTGGATCCGGATCTGGAACTTTCAGGCTGTTCCAGCTGGTTGACATTCGGTTCTTCAGTTTCATCAGAAGAAGATGTTACATATCCACGCTTCTTCATCTTATCAGAGATAAAAGGTGAGATCACAAGAGATAATCTCTAGAGAGAGAGGAGAGGAGAGGAGAGAAGAGAGAGGAGAGGAAACAACGCTAAGTCGCAAAAGCCGACAAGAA